GGCACGCCCCTCTCAACCTCCTATCTTTGGCATCCTGGCAGGGTAGGACACAGAGAAGGAGCTCTCCCTGCCCCAACCCTGCCTGCTCTTAGTCCCAGGGAACACCCCCTGCTGACTTCTCCCCATGTGGCCGACAAGGCCAGGCCTGGAGGAGGGGACCTGACTGCTCTTCCCCCACCTGTCTCTAGCTTTGATGCTCACTGGACTCATCTAGGCCTGTGGGTTGCAGGTGGGGGGCAGGAATCAGGTTAGAGCTTGAGGGAAGCAGGACAGCCCACATCCCAGGCTGTACCAACTACTACTCCCAACATCGCCACCACTGCAGCTCCCAGTCAGTGTCGGTCAGGGGGAAGGAGGTGGCAGGGTACATGGGAGAGGAGGTGGTTGGGGCTTGTGGTGAGCTTGGAGTGTTTAGCTGGTGGACGCAGTCAGGAGTATGGATTGGATTCAAATTCCAGTTCTTCCATTTCCTTGCTGCGTGACTCTGAATGAGTTTCTTAGGCTCCTAATGTCTGTTTTCTCATCTGTAAGATAGGGATAATGTAAGTATACTGCATAGGCTTGTTGGGAGGGGCTGGTGTGTTATCAGCACTGGCCGTGTTGGCTACCAATAGTATATCTGCCAGGAGGACATCTGGGAGGCCTAGGTATGCAGGTAGTAACAGGTTCTAGGGGAAGATGAAATCACCCAGGGGAGGGAGCAGAGTGATGTGGGGCCTCAGGGAATCCACCACTGAGAGCACAGACTGGGTGGCAGTGTTTCTGCCCCTGGACCTTTGCACTGGCTCTTCCCTCTGCCTAGAACTCCTTCACTTTGTTTAGATCTCTACACCCAAGTCACTTCTTCAGAAGCAGCTTCTCTGGCCTCTATCCTAGATTACCACTCCCCTCCCCATCACTCTCTCTCTGCTTTCCCTGATTTATTATTTTTCAGAGCACTTATACTCCCAAAATTAAAAAGTTATTCATGTATTTTCTTTTTTACTGTGTATCAGCCCTACCAGAATATAAGCTTCAGGAGGGTATAAACTTTGTAATGTTTTCTGCAGGAGAACAGCACCTGGCATGTAGTAGCTGTTAAACAAATATTTGTTGACTGGGTGATTAAAGAAAAAAGCAGCCTTTAGAGAAAGAGAAGGAAAACACAGAGGGCATAGCAATATGTGCTGGGCCAAGGTGAAGTGTCAGAGAGAATACAGTGTCATGAGCACCCTAGGCCCCAGGCACCCACTTTCTACCCCATTAGCACTGGGTCCCAGCAACTGCCCAGAGAGGGTGGTCTCAGAGAGGGTGAAGACTGCTAGGAGGTTGGCATGAAGGGGGTGTATGAGACAGTATCTTCTGCTATATTGAGTGGCAATGATCTTTTTTTTTTTTAATTTTCAGAGGTTATTAATCCTTTCATGAAACATCTGCAGTCACTATAGACACAGTCATTGCAGAATCTTCACTTGTTCTTTCTGCAGCACCAACATTGATTGGCCTTTACCATCCCCCTGACTTTCTTCATTCTGGTCTCACATTCCATTTGCCGTTTTCTTGAGCAGCCATGTCTTGCAAGGTTGTGTTAGGGTTCATTTCTCTTTGCAAAATTCAAGGAATTATAAATCATGCTCAAGCCAGTTGTCTTGCACCACCAAAATGGGTTCTGACTCCAAATATCAAGATGACATCTGGCGTGGTCTTGTACATTCTGGCTAGTTTTTCTCAAATTTCTGTTTTAGGTACTGTTGCCTTTCCAAGGTGAAGAACATCAGTGACCATGTTTCCACTGAAAAAGTTGGTTGGTCATGAAGCTCCTGATCCGGATAGGTACTGTGTGGTTCTTGACGGAGGGCACTCCTCACACAGTCAGGGAGGAAGAGAGTACATTGGTACGTCTAACCATGAGAAATCCCGGAGATCCCAAAGACTTGAGGGAGGCTGTGGATTTCACATGGGAGCTCTCTCATGTTCCCAAACTACCACATGCCAACAGGAGAGTTGAGGCCTTCACTGCCAACCAAGTCACCTCCCCGTAGATTTGCTGCCTAGAGGAAGAGGCAGTCCTTCCTCTCCTCTCCTTCTCATGCCCTCTGCCCTCCCTCCTTGCTTCCTCCCCACCACTGACACTCCCGGATGCCAAACCAGAGCCCAGTGCTTACAACAATTTCAAACCCATTTCATAGGTGAAACCCATAGAAGCCAAAGGACTTGTCCCAAATCACACAGTAAGTGGCAGACTGGGCTCTGACACCCGTTTGCCTGTAACCAAATCCAGCGTGCCTTCCTTTCTAGGCTAGATGTCCCCGACTTGCCAGAAGCAGCTGGGAGTGAAGTTTGACCCGGGCTGACAACACCTGCAGTTCCCCAGATTGCCACCAGGTGGCTGTGAGTGCTCACTGCCAGGTAAGACTTCCTCCTTACCTTGTCCCTCTTCAAATCTGGGGGATCCTGGGAGGCGGGGCTCTCAAAGGAGGTGTACGTGTGTGTATAATAATATCATACACCACTGCGATATAACGAGTTATGAGAAATATATATATGGTCATTCAGATGATCAAAAATATATTTCTCAGAGATACTGGATCTTCATTCACAGTTCCTGAAAATGCTTCCGAGCCATAAAGGTCAAATGGGTGTCTTGTTCTTGCATCAAGAGTCTTTTGGACCCCTCCTAAGGGTAGGGGCTTGTTACCAGGGGAACCAACCGAGGTGGGCACTCTCAGTCTCCAACCCCAACGCCTGGGAAGGGAGAAGGTTGAGGGGCTAGAGACTGAATCGGCCAATGGTCAATGATTTAGTCAGTTATGACTATGCAATGAAGCTCTCGCAGAAACCCTAGAGAAGTGCCTTTTGCTCTCTCTCTCTTTTGCACCCTGCTTCTCTGTCAGAGAGAGCTTCTATGCTTGGGGAACCAGAATGTTTCCACTTGCCACTAAGCCAAGCCCCAAGGCTCCACGAGGATAGAAGCTTCTTTCTTTGGGACCTTGCCCTATGTCTCTCTTCATCTGGCTGTTAACTTGTATCCTTTATTAAACTGGTAAAAGTAAGTGTTTTCCAGAGTTCTGTGAGCCACTCTAACAAATTAATCAAATCTAAGGAGAGGTCCTGGAAACCTCCAATTTATAGCCACTGGGTTAGAAGCAAGATTAACAGTCTAGAGCTTGTGACTGGTATGTGGAGTCAGGGGTGGAGGGCAGCCTTATAAGATGGAGCCCTTAACCTGGAGAATCAGTGCTATTTCTGGGCAGGTAGTGTCAGAATTGAGTTGAGTTTTTGGACACCTGCTGGTGTTTGAAAAGTGCTCTGTATCATGTATAGGAAAGCCCCCCACCGCACACGTTGAAATTAGTTTGGGAACCCTTAGAGGAATTGGTGTCAGTATAGTTGGATTTGCTGGGAAGGAGTTGGGGTCAGTACAGTGGGATTTGCTGGAATGGCCCCATCACACAGAAATATGTGGTTTTCCCAGAGGAAGAATGAAAGGTTGGGGGATGAGGAACCTTTGTTGCCTGGGTGGCTGCTTAGTCACCCAAGGTAGAAAACCTTAAAGGAACCACACAAGAATCTGTGTGTCAGTGCACACTGTTAGCACAGACTCACTAATTCATTCAGTCAATACTAACTGACAGTTCCCCTGGGCTTGAGTATGAGTGGGTGCTATGGACAGAGAGATGACTAGCCACATCTATGCATTTTTAACATTCAATAAATATTTATTGCATATATTCTATTTGCCAGATATGGTTCTAGGCACAGAGGATACAGCAATTAACAAAAATCCCTGCCTTCTTCATGGAATTTCCATTCCGATGGGGAGAGATGGACAATCTACAAAGAGATACTTAATATGATATTAAATAGGAGCCCCTGAGGTTCTCACAGACCAGTGGGACAGGTAAACATGTACACAGTTACTACATGGTACAGTATGGTTACTTAACATATGCCCACTTAGCCCTTACATGAGCAGGGAGTTAGCTAAAGAAGACAAACATGCTTCCTACCCTCATGAAACTTACAGGCTAGGAAACACATGAGTCATTAATTATACATTTGATACATGTTCTGAAGGCAAAAGGAAATGTCATGATATAGAGGAACCAGGAGAGCTATGTGAAGAAGGGAGGTCATGAAGGAACTCACCGGAAGAGAGAATAAAAGCATTTCAAGGAGAGGGCACGATGACTGAGTCTCTGAGGAGGGAAAGGGTATGTTTGAGGAATGGAGAGGAGGCTAGTGTGTGGGGCACAGTGAGCCAAGGGGAGAGGTGGGGGTTGAGCTCAGAGAGGTGCACAGGGAGACGATCACGTAAGTCATGAAAAGCAGTGAAATGGGAACTACTGCTGGGCTTAAAGCAGGGGAGTGATATAATTTAAGTTTCAAAGGATCACTCTGACTGCTGTGCGGAGACAGACTGGAGGTGGAAGCGGAGGCAGGAGCCCTACTCCGAGGTCACTGCAGTTGCCTGGACATGAGGTGGGGTGACGGTGAGCGTTCAGGAACTGGAAAGCTGATGAATTCAGAGCTGGTAGCTGGGACAAGCGCTGCACCAGCTTAGTCTTGCTCAGGGACAGTCACAGAGGGCCTCCTGCAGGAGGTGACCCATTAGTGGTATCATAAAAGATTTGTTTGCAGACACATGGAGTCAGAGGAGGAGGACCCTCCAAGAGAGAGAAGAGCTATAGGATAAAGGCAGGAGGTACGCAGAGGAGGTTTGCCGGAGTTGTTCCATCTTCGCAGAGAGATCCACAGGAGAATGTATGGTTTGTTAGTAGTAAGTAGTTGTAACTGTTAACTATTGTTAGTTACAGGTGTGCAGCTGGGTCGGGAGCACTGGGCTGGAGGTGGAGAGATGAGGTTTGCTGGCCTTCACAAGGGAACTGGTGACAGAGGAAGGGCCAAGAAGACTCCAGGTGAGGTGGAATAGGGCTCAGGACTGAAGTGGGCCACCAGCGGTGAAGAACGGGGAGGGAGTGGGAGAGAGGGGAGGGAAGGAGGTGGGTCGGAGGAAGAGGAGGTGCCGCTAAGGAATCTGAGAAGTGGCTGCAGGAGAGGAAGCAGAGGAGGCTGACAGGGCGGGAGCCAAGGCGGGCGGAAGGCTGTGGAAAGGCCCCGTCGTCCCACTAACAATGAAACAGTGGCTTGGCCGGAGGGTGTGGTGGTTTGGAGGCAGACGTGGTGGGCTGAGGGGCAGAAGAGAGGAGGTGCAAGGAGTGCGAGGGCTGGGCTGGCAGTGTCTAGGGGGCAGCTAAAGGCCGTTCCCCAGTGGTGGCATCTGGTTGGGGGGTGCACTTGACAAAAACCGCCTTCGACGAGTCCTGGAAGCAGGAAAGCGAACTCGCTTCGGATCCAGGTTTTGTCACTAACTCTGTGACCTCGGATTAGTCACTCACCGTTTCTGAACCCCGGTTGCTGCACTTGTGAAGCAGGAATAACAACTCGCCCCTAAGCAGTTTTCGTGAGGCTGTGGCTGGGGGCATCCGGGGACCAGGTCTGTGGCTTGTTCTGGACTCCGCCCCCTTTTGTTCGAACTCCGCCCCAGACCACTGAACCCACCTCACCTAGTGGCGTCCTCTAGCCAGGCCCTATAGGCCCTCCACCTCCGGAACACCAGGCCCCGCCCGGCGGTGCCATTGGCCAAGCCCGGCAGTGGCCACACCCACAAGGCCACGCCCCACTCGCCCAGGCTCCCCACACCTCCGTGTAACTGAGTCCAGAAGGGACGCGCGCCCCAGCTCTCCGCCGACCCCCAGGCCCCGGCCCCGCGTCCATGGCCGCGCAGGGACCCCGCCCCTCATGGGCTGCGTTCTGTGGCGGCTGCTGCTACCTCCTCCTGTGTGCCCAGCTCGCTGTGGCTGGTAACGCGGGCCAGGGTCTCGCTAGGGGCCCCAGGGACAGGCGGGGTGTGCTCCTTCACCCAGCCGCCTGCGCAGAAGCAGTCTGGACTTGGGGGCGGGAGGGGACTTTCCAGATGCAGGGCTCCAGGGGTGGGTGAAGGGGTCTCTAGCTGTGTGTGGAGCCCCGTGTGTGTATATGTAGGCTCCAGGTGTGGGGGATTAGGGAGCTTCAGATGTATAGAATGAAGCCCCCCAGGTGTGTCTAGCAAAGGCGGCTCCAAATCTATCTGGCAACACCAGGTGTATGCAAAGAGAGGGCAGTGTGGGTGAATGTGGGTAAGCATGTGTTTGTGGAAACTCCAGATGTGCAGTGGACTTAGGGGATTCCGGTGAGTGTATGTGCGCAGAGGGATGAGAGCCACAGTGGGGGGAAAGGGGGGCTGCAGCTCAGCGTCAAGGTGGTGTTCCTACCTGACTCCTACCGACTCCCAGGTAAAGGAGCTCCAGGCTTTGGGCGGGGAGCCCTGCTTCGCATGAACATCTGGCCAGCTGTCGGGGGGGCCTGCAAACAGCTGAAGCTCTGTGAACATTGTGTGGAGGGGGACAAAGCACACAACCTCTCTGGCTGTGTGTGGGAACAGTGTCGGCCAGAAGAGCCAGGTATGCAGTTGAGCCCTCCCCAAGTCAAGTGCCTTCAGTTCTGAACCCCAGGGCCTTGGCCCCTCTCCCCATATCTCTCCCCTACATCTTCTCCCACCAGGATATTGTGTGGCCCAAGCTGAGGTGGTCAAGGAAGGTTGTTCTGTCTACAATCACTCAGAGTCATGTCCAGGTAAGGGGGCTTCTGCTGGCCTAAGCCTCCAGGAAGGATCAGCCTCTCCAGGATTGGGCTATGCCTGGTGCTATGAACACCTGGGGCCAGTTTCAGTTCTGCATTTAGCTCACTGAGAAGTCTCTTCCCCTCTCTGGCCTGCTTCCTCATCTGTAAATTGGTACAGTCAGAGGATCCAGGACAGACATGTGTAGGGGATGGGGAGTTAGCTCTTCCAATGTAAAATAGAGTAAGAAGCTCAGAAAGGAATGGGGAGAGGGCTTCCTGGAGGAAATGGCATCAGAGATGACCCATATGGTACTGTGGAATTAAGGAAGTGTGTGGATTAAGGCTTGAAAGTATGTCAAGTGGACCTAGGCCTGGGACAGGGGGTTTGAGCTGAGTCAGAAGTCCACCTGTTGGCCTGGGCTGTGATCTTGATGGGAGTTGGGGGTGGGAGGGCTGGTTTATTATGGATTATCTGTCTTTTCAGCTGCCCACCACCACCCCACCTATGAACCAAAGACAGTCACAACAGGTGGGTGCTACCTGAAGGCTTGGGGTGGTGGGAGGGCTGGAGGTGCAGAGAAGGGCAGAGCGGGGTCCAGGCCCTCACCTGCTCTGTGACTTCAGCCCTGTGACTTCTGCTGGGCCATTTCCACATCTGTAAAATGGGTTGGGTAATACCTTGCAGAGTTGCTGTGAGGACTTTGTGAGAGGCTGTACAGTGCCTTGTTCAGTGTTTGATGCATAGAAGGTGATCAAGAAATGAAGGTTTCTATCCCCTTTCCCCAACACCAGTTCTGGCAACTCATGGTGACACCCCTTGGGAGCTGCCCTTGGTGCTGAATGTGTATGGCTCAGGTTGCCCATGAGGTGTAATTCAGTGACTTCCTACTGCAACCTCCAGGCCTAGAAAAGGTCACAAAGCAGGTTCCTGGCTGAGCAGTGGCAAGCACCCCACCCCTTGGTTCCCCCAGCTCCTTAGGGCTTGGAGGTCACCAGACTTGGCAGGGACTTGGATGAATAGGCCCTTGGTTAATTAAAGCCAGAAATGTGATCTCAGAGGCTGAATTATTGATGGCTCAGCTCACTTCTGCTTGAGCCCCAGATCAGTCTCATGCAGCTATGGCTTCCCTCGTCTGCTCCTTTTACCCCCAGTGTCCTTTCTGAGGTTCCCTGAGCTGAAGCTGGGACCCACCTCTGCCCTGCACACTCTTAGACCTCTGTACACAACCTACACCCTCTGGAGGTGGACCCAGCTCCCAGCTGGGCCTCTGTCCACTGCTGCAGAATAATATTCCACCCCCAGCCCTGCCCTGCCCTGGGCACCTGGCCCAGGGCCTGAAACAGAATCCCTGGTGGAAGTTGATGGCTAACATAGCACAGCTAGGAGCCACCCAGACAGCCTGGTAACTATGGGCCCTGAGTTGGGGCAGAGGAGATGGTCTGTGTGAGTCTGGCTGTGTCTTAATTGTGAGGTGACTTCAGACCGGTTTGGCCCTCCAAGCTTCATCCTCTGGTACACATTATCTAGTGTCCTTTTATCCACTCAGCAGGGCTAGGGCCTTCACTTCTTCCTCCATTCCTTCCCTCTCTACGAGCTCTGATGTTGGATGGCTTTAGGGTCTTGGGCCTTAGGCATCCTGAAAAGGTACCACATCATCTGATTCTGGGCTTTGAACCCCTAGATCCAAGGCTGAAAGGGACTCTGAGCTGAAGGGGTCCAGGTGCCTGAGCTCTGGGTCTGTCATCAACCTGTTGGTTCAGTTTAGGACACAGTTTGGAAGGGAGCTCAGTCACCTCTGCCCCATGTTGTTAGGAGGCCCAGGGAGGGTGTAAGAGTCATCAAGCAACCCAGCAAATCAGGAGCCAGGGCTGGAGACAGGCTCCACTTATCCCAGCTGGGCACTGTCCCTCCCACCAGGCACTTCCCAGCTCCCCCCAGGATCTGGGCTGAACTCAATCTGACATCCACGGCTCTCACAGTGAGCACAGGGGCCTCCAGGTGACCTGTGCTGTTACTGGGGTGGGGCTGGGACCCTGGTCCACAGTGGCCTGCTATGACCTCAACCCTGCAGGGAGTCCCCCAGTCCCCGAAGCCCACAGTCCTGGCTTTGATGGGGCCAGCTTCATTGGGGGTGTCGTGCTGGTGCTGAGCCTGCAAATGGTGGCCTTCTTCATCTTGCGCTTCCTTAAGGCCAAGGATAGCACCTACCAGACACTGTGAGTACCTGGCCAGCCAGCAGAGTCCCAGCTCACTGCCCCACCCCACTTCTGCCCCTCGGGTCCCCTTTAGTGCCAGTGTACTGTCTTCTCAAATGGGCAGCCCTAAGGGCAATGCCTTCCTCCCAGTGCTCCCATGTGAACCAAACTCCTCCCTCTTCCAGTGGTGGGGTTCTCTCTGCTGGGTGTTGGCCATGGCAAGACTCAGCCTGGGCCCAGTGTCTGAGATCCCAGCTGAGCCCACCTGTCTTTGTCCCTCATGCTGCCAGCAGGGAGGAGAACCAGTAGGTGATAACCCAGGAGAGCCTTTGCCTGCAGCTCTGTGGCTGTGGCAGAATCCTGGGCCATGTGTGCAGTTTGGTTTTCCTCAGAAAAGGGGAGCTTCTCTGAGGCTCCTGTGTGCCGTGTGTGCTGTGGGGTGGGTCACTGCAGCCTCCATTACAGTGTTTGCTCCTCCAGCCATGGCCTGCTCTCTGGAGGTGGCGGTCCTCCGCCTGGCGGAGGCAGGGTCATGGCTCTGTCTGGCCTCTGCAGAATCTGACCCCCTTCAAGCCTGGGTTACACACTGACAGGGAAGGTGGATGAAGAGCCTGCCCTCTTGGCCCCCTTATAGGCACTGGGGGGTGGGAAAAGCTTTGGCCACCAATTCTGGCCCTTGGGTGCACTGAGCAGGCTCAGTGCCCTATACCTGACATCCCTGCCTGTCTTGGGCCTGATACCTGCAGCTGAGAGCATCCTTCAGCCACCTCCCATCTCGTCGTCATCCCTGTGGGCCATCTGCTTGGCACTGGCTCCCCCCGGCAACCTGGCCTGGGCACTGCCCACAAATAAAGGAACTCTTGCCATCACTGTGCCTCATGTTCCATGTCTTGGACTGTGTGTGGGGAGGTGGGGGAGTGCAGCCATTGTCCTCTCCTTAATAGCAATTCAGCCTTGGACTGTTGCTGTCTCCTTTTAAATTATTTTCATCTGCTATACATGTTGAATCCCCTCCCTCCACCGCTTTACAGATGAGGGTACAGAGACTCAGAAAGGGAAGTGTAGCTGTTCAGGGTCCCATAGAGGGACAGGGCAGGGCTGGGATTTGAATGCAGGTTTTTCTGACTCCAGAATGAGCAGAACTCCAGAACTCCCTTGCAGAGGTATCTCCAGACTCTCGCAGCTCCTAAAATGAGGTCTCTGCCTCAGTGACAAGGTGGAGATGCTCCTGGAACTATCAACAGCCATTTCTGGCCTTCCTCCTCAGGCCCTCCTGGAAAGCCCCATCCATGCCCACCTCCCACTCTTCAGCCACCATCCCTAGGCCCAGAAGTCTTCCCTGACTAATAACATCTCCCACTGATGGGGCCTTTGCTGGAAACCAGGCATGTGGCTCAGAGCCTGACATCATTATCTGGTTTAATCCCATGACTGTTCTAGAAAGTTGAGAGGCAACAGAATAATGGCTGAGTTCAGCCTCTAGAGCCTGCTGCTCTGTGTGAACTGGAGCAAATTCCTTAGCCCTGGGCCTCAGTTGCCTCATCTGGAAGTGGGGTAAGAGCAGTTTCCATTTCGGTGGGATGTGGGCAATGCTCAGAGCAGGTGCGTGTGCTCCATGGCTTCATTCCAGGGCATCCATTCACCCTTGCAGCTGTGTAGCCCGCAGGTGAGTCTAATGCACCTCTTCCTGCCTCAGGCCTAGCCTCCCTGCAGGGCCTCCAGCTCCAGCTGGAAGGGCTCTGAAGGCCGCTATTAGCAGTTCAGCTATGTCTAGGCCTCACAGAGAGCTCATCTGCCCACACATCCAGCCACCATCAACAATGCCAAACACAGTCCATCTCCTCGCTCCCCACCCTCCATCCTCGCTTCCGTCAAGACCCCATCCTCTCAGACGACCTCCCCTTCGAGCACAAGGCTCCAGCGACCTGGATCTACCTCCTTACCCAGCCTGCCTTGCTGTGTCTCTCAAAGCCTTTGCTCACAGTTTCCCCTGCCCTGCCCACCCTCCACTGGCCTCTCCACCCAGAACTTAAGTGCTGGCAGGGGTAATGCCATTCTCTCCAGGGCTGAGGGAGGCCATGCCCCACAGCCTGCTGCCTCTAGCCCAAGTGGGGTGTCCCTGGGGAGGGACAATAGGAGGAAGTCTTGCTTCATGTTCTCTTATCAGCCTGGCCCCTTATAAACTAGCATCCTTCCTCAGAGGCACCAGCATAATGGGCCTACTGTGGACCCCACTCTCCCTTTTGTCCTTCTTTCTTGGGGAGCCTGCCTGCTGGAGGACACAGGACCACCCCAGCTGCCCAGGTATTGGCCCAGGGTGCCCTTTCCACCAACCCACCCTCATTTCCTCCCTGGGGGTCCTTCTCCCACCCAGGCTCACTAGCCCCAAGGAGTAGAGGGGGGAGTTTGATAATCTGGGCTCTGCACATAAATGTATGCAAATAAATGCAAATGGTGTGAAACCTTGCCAGCTCCAGAGGCAAACGTCCTGACAGCTAGAATCCGGGAGATGGAAAGAGAAATGCAGAGGGGTCCTAGAGAGACACATCCACTTTCCCATGCTCGGCCTGTACCCACCCAGCCCCGTGTCTCCTTGCAGAACCCAGGAAACTGGAAGCCAGCAAAGCCATTCTCTTGCCCAGTTGTCCTGGAGCCCCAGGAAGTCCTTGGGAGAAAGGAACTCCAGGTCCTCAAGGTGAGATGCTGGAGAGCAGGCAGGGACCTGGGGTAAGCTGGGAGGGTTGGGGATGCAGCTAGTACTGTCTGTGCTGAGATGACAAAGGGGCAGCCTACTGTGTGCTGGACTCCAGGTTGGGGCTCAGCATCCTGAGATTAACTGCTAGGCAGGTGGTACCAGCCACATTCTGATGAAGGGGAAAGGGAGGCTCAGAGAGGGTAAGTCATTTGCCCACAATCACAGAACTAGTAAAGGGTGCAGCTGGGATTTGACTTCTGGCTCCCAAGCCCTCATTGCTTTTTGGTCCTGGGCATGGGGGTGGGACTTAAGTCATCCTGGCTTCTGGGATTTCAGGGCAACCTGGACCACCAGGCAAGATATGTCCCAACGGTGAGCCTGGTGAGTGTGTATGACCGGAGCCTCCTCTCCTTTCAGTGTTTCTGTTTCTGAATGATAAGGGGGCGATGATTATCCTCCCACAGCTAGGGTCCCATAGAGGGACAGGGCAGGGCTGGGATTTGAATGCAGGTTTTTCTGACTCCAGAATGAGCAGAACTCCAGAACTCCCTTGCAGAGGTATCTCCAGACTCTCGCAGCTCCTAAAATGAGGTCTCTGCCTCAGTGACAAGGTGGAGATGCTCCTGGAACTATCAACAGCCATTTCTGGCCTTCCTCCTCAGGCCCTCCTGGAAAGCCCCGTCCATGCCCACCTCCCACTCTTCAGCCACCATCCCTAGGCCCAGAAGTCTTCCCTGACTAATAACATCTCCCACTGATGGGGCCTTTGCTGGAAACCAGGCATGTGGCTCAGAGCCTGACATCATTATCTGGTTTAATCCCATGACTGTTCTAGAAAGTTGAGAGGCAACAGAATAATGGCTGAGTTCAGCCTCTAGAGCCTGCTGCTCTGTGTGAACTGGAGCAAATTCCTTAGCTCTGGGCCTCAGTTGCCTCATCTGGAAGTGGGGTAAGAGCAGTTTCCATTTCGGTGGGATGTGGGCAATGCTCAGAGCAGGTGCGTGTGCTCCATGGCTTCATTCCAGGGCATCCATTCACCCTTGCAGCTGTGTAGCCCGCAGGTGAGTCTAATGCACCTCTTCCTGCCTCAGGCCTAGCCTCCCTGCAGGGCCTCCAGCTCCAGCTGGAAGGGCTCTGAAGGCCGCTATTAGCAGTTCAGCTATGTCTAGGCCTCACAGAGAGCTCATCTGCCCACACATCCAGCCACCATCAACAATGCCAAACACAGTCCATCTCCTCGCTCCCCACCCTCCATCCTCGCTTCCGTCAAGACCCCATCCTCTCAGACGACCTCCCCTTCGAGCACAAGGCTCCAGCGACCTGGATCTACCTCCTTACCCAGCCTGCCTTGCTGTGTCTCTCAAAGCCTTTGCTCACAGTTTCCCCTGCCCTGCCCACCCTCCACTGGCCTCTCCACCCAGAACTTAAGTGCTGGCAGGGGTAATGCCATTCTCTCCAGGGCTGAGGGAGGCCATGCCCCACAGCCTGCTGCCTCTAGCCCAAGTGGGGTGTCCCTGGGGAGGGACAATAGGAGGAAGTCTTGCTTCATGTTCTCTTATCAGCCTGGCCCCTTATAAACTAGCATCCTTCCTCAGAGGCACCAGCATAATGGGCCTACTGTGGACCCCACTCTCCCTTTTGTCCTTCTTTCTTGGGGAGCCTGCCTGCTGGAGGACACAGGACCACCCCAGCTGCCCAGGTATTGGCCCAGGGTGCCCTTTCCACCAACCCACCCTCATTTCCTCCCTGGGGGTCCTTCTCCCACCCAGGCTCACTAGCCCCAAGGAGTAGAGGGGGGAGTTTGATAATCTGGGCTCTGCACATAAATGTATGCAAATAAATGCAAATGGTGTGAAACCTTGCCAGCTCCAGAGGCAAACGTCCTGACAGCTAGAATCCGGGAGATGGAAAGAGAAATGCAGAGGGGTCCTAGAGAGACACATCCACTTTCCCATGCTCGGCCTGTACCCACCCAGCCCCGTGTCTCCTTGCAGAACCCAGGAAACTGGAAGCCAGCAAAGCCATTCTCTTGCCCAGTTGTCCTGGAGCCCCAGGAAGTCCTTGGGAGAAAGGAACTCCAGGTCCTCAAGGTGAGATGCTGGAGAGCAGGCAGGGACCTGGGGTAAGCTGGGAGGGTTGGGGATGCAGCTAGTACTGTCTGTGCTGAGATGACAAAGGGGCAGCCTACTGTGTGCTGGACTCCAGGTTGGGGCTCAGCATCCTGAGATTAACTGCTAGGCAGGTGGTACCAGCCACATTCTGATGAAGGGGAAAGGGAGGCTCAGAGAGGGTAAGTCATTTGCCCACAATCACAGAACTAGTAAAGGGTGCAGCTGGGATTTGACTTCTGGCTCCCAAGCCCTCATTGCTTTTTGGTCCTGGGCATGGGGGTGGGACTTAAGTCATCCTGGCTTCTGGGATTTCAGGGCAACCTGGACCACCAGGCAAGATATGTCCCAACGGTGAGCCTGGTGAGTGTGTATGACCGGAGCCTCCTCTCCTTTCAGTGTTTCTGTTTCTGAATGATAAGGGGGCGATGATTATCCTCCCACAGCGAAGGCTGAGAGGAGTGCGGAGGATTAGGGGAAGGGCTTGGGCGTCCTCCCCTCTGGTGGTTCAGAGGCATTGCCTTGGGGGTACTCAGACCTCAAGAGTCAGCACCCTGTCTTTCCCTGGGGCAGGTGATCCAGTGAACGTGCCCCAGGGCTGTGAGGGTGAGGCAGCCTTTGCAGGAGCCAGAACTAGGCATCAGATGTTGCTGGGGTGTGGGTGGAGCACCAGGAGTGGCCCAGCCCTCCAGAGAACCCCTCTTCAGGGGCCCAAAGGAGGTGAGAGGGCTCCCAGGGCCCCACATGTGGCCTGTTTCATTGCCCAGGTTGTGGGGGCTGGAGCATAACTGCAGGCCCCCTCAGTCCATCTCCCCTTTCCCAGGCCCCAGGAGCTGCTAAGCTGGGATGCCACCTTGAAAAGCTGGTACCATCTGTGTCTACTGGAGGGCAGAGTTCTCCCAGTCTTTTGTGACATGGGCACCACAGAGGGCAGCTGGCTGGTGAGTTAAGAGGTGGAAGGACTCCAGGACCAGGCCTAGTGGGCACTTCTTCCTCTTGGCCTCTAGGGGGGAGCCAGAGCCCACTGGAGCTAAGGCATTCCTCAGAGTAATTGAAAAATGTGCGCTGAGCTCCCAGAGGGCGGGAAGTCTGAGAAGGCCTCCTGGAGGAGATGCCATTTGCAAGGGCCTTGAAGGCTGTGTAGAAGTTCTCTAGCCAGATGAGGTACTGAAATGCTTCCCAGGTAGAGGGAAAGACACACTTGGGAAGGCAGGAGAGTACAAGAGGTTTGGGGAGACTGTGTGAAAGAGCTGAGATGGGGTATGAGTGGTCAGCTGGTCTACTGGTGTGGGTCAAGCATGGACTAAGGGCCTCGGCAAAGGCCAGTTTACAGAGGGCACTGGATGACTGACCAAGGGGCATGGAGGGCAATGGGGAGCTATGGAAGAGTTTTCAGCAGAGGAGGGACCAGGTCAGCCTTAGGTTTTAAGAAGACCTCAGGCTATGCTGTGGAGATACATTGCAGTGGGGGCCGAGAGTGCAGGCAGGGACACAGTTAGGAGGACGGAGGGTCCAGCCAAGAGGAGTCAGTGGGCAGTGGTAGCATTTAAACAGAGGCAAATAGACTGAAAGATATTTAGGAGGGAAAACTCTATAGGGCCTGGGGACTACTTGGCTTTGAAGGAGGAAGTGGTGGTGGTGGTGGGGACATCAGGGTAAGGCCAGGAATTCAGCTTGGGCCCTGGAGGTGACCTCTCTGCTCTAATATCTGAGTTCTCATAGTAAATTGAAGTCAGGGATGATGTTTCTTTCATTTCAGTCTCCCCAGGGCTTTTGAGGCCTTGGTGTGAAGTTGAGTTTCAGTAAAAGTTAATAAGGGAATGTAGAGTTCATCAGTAAATTCATAGGCAAAGCTCACTTGGACTCACACTTTATCAACAAACCCCAGTTCAAAGAGGGGGCAAGTATCTGCTCACCCCTCCCAGGACACCCCTGCTGAGCTGCCACTGCCCTGGCTTCTCATCATCCCAGGCCCAGGAGTAAAGGCTGGTGTTCTAGAGGCGACGAGATGGTTCCATGGACTTCTCCCACTCTTGGCCTTCCTACAAATCAGGTTTTAGGAGCCAGGAGTCCATATTCTGGCTAGGGAATGAGAATTTGCCCGGTTTACTTGCCAGGGTAAGTTCCCAGAAGGCTCCAGGAAGTCTGAGGGGCATTCCTCTGACATTCTGAGTTCCCACCCTGGGATCTGAGGATTTCTTCATCCCTGCTTCCCCTTTTCCCCAGATAACAGGGACCTGCAAGTGGAGCTGTGGGACTTTAAAAGTAACCACACCTTTGCCCACTGTAAGATCTTCTGCCTCTTTGAGAAGCAGATTACTAACAGCTAGTGCTGGGCAAGTTCTCAGAGGGCACTACAGGTGAGCAAGCTTAAGGTGGGGCCCGGGAGCAGGGGAAGAATGTGAAGGAGGCCAAATTCTTTCCCAGAATCATCGGGGCCTCCATGAATGAGCCAGGGCAACTCCTTCCCGTCTATGGGCCTCAGTGTCTTCATCTGAGAATAGCCATCCTGAGACAGGATGGTGCAGGACTGAAGCTGGGCTCTGGAGGCAAACAGTCCTGAGTTTAAATACAGCTCTGTCATTTACTACCTGCGCAACCTTGGGCTTCCTCCCCCGTAAAATGGATGAGGAGGCAGAGAGACAGAGAGCCATCTGAGGCTCTGTTGAGTGTTAGCATTATATGCTTTGGAAGAGGAACTAAGGAAGGCTTTTTTTCAGAGAAACGGCAACTATTAAGGAGACTTGAAAGGGGGAAGTGGTTATGAGGAGGTGCCTCAGGGAGCCCCCTTTCCTGCCCAGGCACCAGAGCAGTCCCTCCTGGCTCTCTCCCTGGCACTATTGCTCAGGCTGCTGATGGGAGATGGGAGGAGACAAAAGAGAGCCAGGGGATTCTGGGGGCGGGGAAAAGGGGGAGCAGCTAGTGGCTTTGCATCCGCAGTCTTGAGTTCAAGTCGCAGGACCCCTATGACAACCTGAGTGACTGACCTTGGGCAAACACCCCTGCTCCTTGGTCCAGCTCTTTTCTCATGGGCCCTGATAATGTCCACCTCACGGTTGCTCTGAGGCTCCTGTGAGATCACCTCTCAAGTGTGCCAGGCATGGTTCTGGGCACCAAGGCTTCTCCTGCCCCTCCTGGCCAGGGGACTCACTGAGGTTCCACAGTGGGAAGCCCTTTATCACCTATGACGCTGACCATGGCATGAGCCAGAGCAACTGCAAGGTGACTGTCCATGATGCCTAGTGGTGCAGATCCTGCTCTCAATCCAATCTCAACAGGCACTAAGCTATGTCCAAGGCCATACCCACAGCTATGGAATCGACTGGGCTTCAGGTCATGGTGGGAAGTGCCATTACAGCAGGGTTAGCATGGTGCTTCAATCGGGCGCCCTGGAAGCCAGCACCCTTATCTCTCCTGTACAGCTTCCGGACCTTCGGCTACCCTCCTGATTGCTAACTGCCTCAGCTCTTCTGTCCACATTTAAAAATTAACATCATTTTAACCCTTTCCTGGCTTGCAGGACTCTTCCAGGTCCTGGGGAAATCTCAAGGCAGAGCAGGAACACAGGTTTAGCTCCATCCAAGGAACCCACCCTCCTGACTGGGAGCAGCCCCCTGGCAAACGGGCTCTGATGCCAAGTCCCAGGCTCCTGGCAGGCCCAGGAGAAGGCTTTCCAGTTGCACTCCCTCCCTGCCTGCACAGCAGGGCCCTGGAGGACACCCACCCTTCACGTGTTCTGCACATCCTGTTGTTTCTAGAGGTCCGTTCATTCAACAGATCCCTGCAGAGCAGGGCCTACGATTCGCACCTCTTTCCTAACCCTAGCCTGGGCACACATCTTATGAGTGCTTGCTGTGAGCAGTCCACAGCGGTTGGCGTACACAGGGGCACAGGCTGTTCCGGAAGCGGCCAGTCTCAGCGGTTCTGGCGGGAGAGAAGGAAGGGGAGAGGCCGAGTCCCGGGCCGCTAGGGAGCGGTGCTGCCCCAGGGCCGAGGGAGGAGCTTTCCCAGTCTGCTGGGAAAGGGCTGGCCTCAACCTGCATGCGTGGGTAGGAGCGAACTAGCCGGGAGCTCTCCTGCAGAGTCCGGGTGGCGGACACGGCCGGACCGAGTCCCGGGATCTCCCACGTAACTCTGAGCCACGGGTCACTGGATGCCCCAGATTATTGGGACCTAATCCGTGATTTAAGATCCTCAGGGTCTTGCAAGTCAGAGCCTGGATTTAACCCTGGACACCAATTCCCGGAACGGGTCCTCCGGCCGGACTCCGGATCTCTAGATCCCACAGGAGATTCCCTATCCCGACCAGATTCCATATCCTGAGATCCCTGGATCCGTCGCCTCTGGCTCCTGCACCTCCCTGTGTGCCCAGAGCCGAGCGCCCGACACCCGAGCGCCCCCACATGGCGGGGCCGTGCCCGGGGTCCGGAACCCTGGAGCGCGCGGGCAGCTTCTGGCAGGACCCGCTGGCTGAGGCGCTGAGCCAGGGCCGGCCGCTCGCGGCTCCCCCGGGCCGTGGCTGTGCTCGAAGCCGACCGCTCAGCGTGGTCTACGTGCTGACCCGGGAGCCGCAGGCCGGGGTGGAGCCCGAGGCTGGAGCCGAGGTGGAGCCGCTGCCCCTGCGCTGCCTGCGCGAGGCCTGCGCGCAGCTCCCCGGGCCGCGGCCACGGCCGCAGCTGCGCACCCTGCCCTTCGGGAAGCTGGCTCTGGGAGACACCGCGGCGCTCGATTCTTTCTATAACGCTGGTGAGCGCGCGCCCGGGGTGGGGTCAGGAGCGGGGCGGGACTTAGGGTCTTGGGAGGGGACTGGGGCGTGGCTCGGCGACCCCGGGGAGACCCCGAGATGTGTGCGGGGTCTGGGGAACAGCAGGTGAGCTGAAGCTCAGGAGTTCGAGGCGAGGTCGGATAAAAGTGGAATTTAGGGGATCTGGAGCGCGGCCGGGCTCGGGTTGGGACTCAGCGGATCCAGGCCCGCCTCCGGGTTTCACGTTGTAGCTTAAGCACTCTGGAGTCGGCTTCGTGCCTCCGGAGCGGGGCTGGCACTCGGACGAGGCTGCGAGCGGGGCAGAGTGTGGAATCCCAAGAGCGGGTTGGAGAGCTCAGCCTCAGGATGATCTCGCGCGGAGCTCAGGAGGGCTGATCCTGGGAGGCGGAACTTGGACTAGGGAAGGGAGCCATACTTGGAGGGCTGGAGTTCAGGGGCCCTAGCACACCACTTCGGAGGATCGGCCTACAGAGGCAGAGAAAGAAGCGAAGGAACTTTACAGCACCCATTCCGGGCGAGGGAGTTTGGGTTCTGCTGCCCCAGTAGCTGCGAAAGAGTGGGCGGGGCTAGAGGCGGGGCAGGGTCGTCCAGGGGCGCGTCTGGAAGGCGGCTATTTCAGTCGGGCCACCCCCTCCATCCCGACGCCCCGCCCCCAACACTTACTTGTTCTTCCCGAGAGTGCGGGACCAGTGCTTGTCGGATGACGGTAAAATCGCAGCCTAAAAATGAAGGCTGATTCGACCTCGAGGACATAAAGACATACGCACAGTCACAGGCTCACAAATCGCATGTATCTTGACTCACACAGGCTCTCGCAGACTCACCCAGAGATAGACGCAGACAGGCACAGACCTGTCTACACACACTGCTGGTGCTGGCCCCTTTCAAAGGACTGAGTTGAGAAAATCCAGGAACGGGGACTTCTGCGTGTGGACAACTCCTGCCTCTTAAGTAGTTCAGAATAAGCTCTAGGTGGGGAAGGCAGGATGCACAACTCCCCTTTCTCCATGCTCACAGGCTCTGAACAGGTGGATGAGAGTCCTAGGCCCTTGAGGTCAACTCTTCACTTGCACACCACAGATTATCAGTTCTGTGTAACGGCCAGAGGGACCCTAAAAGGGGGAAACTCGGGCCCAGAGCCAAATTGAAGCCTGCTGAATTCACATGGGAGGCAGGTCAGTCCAGGATGGGCCCCCAGGCTCCTTCCCTGCCGAGCTGGGCTTCATGAAGGGCTCAGGGCCTCCTCCTGTGTGCCTGCAGATGTGGTGGTGCTGGAGGTGAGCAGCTCCCTTGCACAGCCTTCCCTGTTCTACCACCTTGGTGTGCGTGAGAGCTTCAGCATGACCAACAACGTGCTGCTCTGCTCCCAGGCTGACCTCCCAGACCTGCAGGCCCTGCGGGTAAGTGACCAGGTGGCTGGTGGGGACAGGCACAGGGCTGGAATGGGGCCTACGCAGAACACCAGTATCTGACTGTCTGTCCCCTGCAGGAGGATGTTTTCCAGAAGAACTCCGTGAGCAGAATCCATTCCTCACTCCAATGTGTCTTTTGACCTCCGCTATGATCTCTGACCTCCACTACCTTTCCTGTGCTCTGCAGACCCTCTGGCCTCCTTAATGCCCCCTGACGTCTATGTGACCCTCTGTTCCTTATTACCTCCCTTCTGCAGTGGTCCCTTCCCAGCTATTCTAATCCCCACTGGTGCTGACCTCTGACCCCCTCACTGCCCCTCTCTAATCTGGTGCTGACCTCTGACCTCTACTGATTCCTGCCTCCTTCCCACCAGGATTGCGCTGGCAGCTACACATTGATCCCCTATGTGGTGACAGCCACTGGTCGGGTGCTTTGTGGTGACGCAGGCCTCCTGAAAGGCCTGGCTGATGGGCTAGTTCAGGCCAGGGCAGGCACAGAGGCTCTGCTCACACCCCTGGTGGGCCGGTTTGCCCGCCTGCTGGAGGCCACACCTACGGACTCTTGGTAATGGGGGCCAGCAGAGAGGGTGCACCAGGAGGAGGCTGGTGAGGGTACAGCTGGGGCTGAGGGACAGGCCCCACTATTCTTTCTCCCTCTCTCTCCTTCCACACAAATTAGTGGCTATTTTCGGGAGACCATTCGGCAGGACATCCGACAGGCACGGGAGAGGTTTAGTGGGCAGCAGCTGCGGGAGGAGCTGGCCCGCCTGCAGCGGAGACTGGACAGCATGGAGTTGCTGAGCTTGGATATCATCATGAACCTGCTGCTCTCCTATCGTGATGTGCAGGTGCGTGGTGCCCAGAGAGGCAGGCAGGCTGGCAATGGCATTCAGTGTTAGACAAACCTGAGTCCAGCTCCAGACTGTGCCACTCACTCCACTGGTGGCCTTGAGCAAATTATCTGATGTCTCTGAGCCTCAGTTTCCTTGTTTGTAATAGGGGATGATCATGTCACCATCTCTTGCGGCAGTTGGGGAGCTGGGGCACACATTGGGTTTTCCATGTAAGGTGTGATGTCTATACTACCTGCCAGGACTAAGGGAGGTGTGCAGAGGATGGTGGATGGGAAGATGGTGTGTCGGGGTGGGAGGGGACCCAAGCTCAAGATTTTCCTCAGGACCTGGGGGCTAATGGGACCCTCCAGACACCATGTACCAGTGCATGCTATTCCCTCATGCAGGACTACTCAGCCATCATTGAGCTGGTGGAGACACTGCAGGCCTTGCCCACCTGTGATGTGGCTGAGCAGCACAACGTCTGCTTCCACTACGCGTTTGCCCTCAACCGGTGTGTGGCAGAGCAAGGCTCAGGCCATAGCCACATGGGGACATGGGTCTCTGCTGTGTGAGGTCATTGCTGTCTGGGGTTTCTGCTGTCAGAGAATTTGCTGACCAGGGTCACACTGATGTCAAATGATCCCATTAGTTCTGTTACTGCTGCCCGGGTGGAGTGGGGTGGTGGTTCTGCCCTTAGAGTGGCCACAGCTGTCCCAGGTCACTGCTCCTCAGAGTCACTGCAGCTAGTAATCACCTCCATCTGGGATCACCACCTCAAGAAAGGTCAGTGCTGACCTGAGTCACCATTGCTTGTGGTGCATTACTGTCAGGCTCTTGGAAGGAGCTGTGCAGTTTAGGGTCTGGGGGTTCCAGGACAGAGTGAGGCAGGGCCACTGGGCAGGTCCCCAGCCTACATTCCTCTTCCTCTAGGAGGAACAGGAGGGGGGACCGGGAGAAGGCCCTGGCTGTGCTGCTGCCACTGGTACAGTTTGAGGGCTCAGTGGCACCTGACCTGTATTGCATGTGTGGCCGTGTCTACAAGGACATGTTCTTCAGCTCTGGCTTCCAGGATCCTGGGCACCGGGAGCAGGCCTATTACTGGTAAGGGGCACAGACAAGTGGACGTGGGCTGAGGGATGGGGCTGTGGGCATCAGTCCAGCCCTGCTTCTCCCCACCCCTGCCCCACCCCAGGTATCGCAAAGCTTTTGATACAGAGCCCAGCCTCCACTCGGGCATCAATGCAGCTGTGCTCCTCATTGCTGCTGGGCAGCGCTTTGAGGACTCCGAGGAGCTCCAGCTTATAGGTGAGCCCCATCCTGCACCTCTGTCCCCCCACCAACAGGGGATCATAGGGGTCTGGGAGAGAGGACACTGGGCTGGAGCTGGGACTGACCTCATCCCCTTTTGGACCTATTCTTCTTGAAGCCACGTGGGGGTCCTCATACCTGTCCTGGGCCCTCACTATCCTTTGGGTCCACAATTGCTTGTAAGCTCACACCTGTGTTCCTTACCCACTGAACTCCATATACACTTATTCCCAAACCCTCACCTGTGCCTGAGCACCTACATCCACCTGAGATCTTGCTTAAGTTTTCACCCATTTCTAGGTTCCTGCCCACGGGAATGTTGTAGCCCAAACTTACCACCACACTCACTTGGGCCCATGCTGCTCTCTCCCAGGCATGAAGCTGGGCTGCCTGCTGGCTCGAAAAGGCTGTTTGGAGAAGATGCAATATTACTGGGATGTAGGCTTCTACCTGGGAGCTCAGATCCTTGCCAATGACCTTGCCCAGGTGGCACTGGCTGCAGAGCAGCTGTACAAACTCAATGCCCCCATTTGGTAGGTGGCCCTTCTGCAGTCGTAGCCTGGCCTGGTCAGTCAGCTCCTGCCTGTGTGTTAGCTGGGGCCAGGGCTGGGTTGAGGACAAGGCTGTGCCTGCAGGTACCTGGTGTCTGTGATGGAAACCTTCCTGCTGTACCAGCACTTCAGACCCACACCAGAGACTCTTGGAGGCCCCCCACACNGCGGTGCTGCCCCAGGGCCGAGGGAGGAGCTTTCCCAGTCTGCTGGGAAAGGGCTGGCCTCAACCTGCATGCGTGGGTAGGAGCGAACTAGCCGGGAGCTCTCCTGCAGAGTCCGGGTGGCGGACACGGCCGGACCGAGTCCCGGGATCTCCCACGTAACTCTGAGCCACGGGTCACTGGATGCCCCAGATTATTGGGACCTAATCCGTGATTTAAGATCCTCAGGGTCTTGCAAGTCAGAGCCTGGATTTAACCCTGGACACCAATTCCCGGAACGGGTCCTCCGGCCGGACTCCGGATCTCTAGATCCCACAGGAGATTCCCTATCCCGACCAGATTCCATATCCTGAGATCCCTGGATCCGTCGCCTCTGGCTCCTGCACCTCCCTGTGTGCCCAGAGCCGAGCGCCCGACACCCGAGCGCCCCCACATGGCGGGGCCGTGCCCGGGGTCCGGAACCCTGGAGCGCGCGGGCAGCTTCTGGCAGGACCCGCTGGCTGAGGCGCTGAGCCAGGGCCGGCCGCTCGCGGCTCCCCCGGGCCGTGGCTGTGCTCGAAGCCGACCGCTCAGCGTGGTCTACGTGCTGACCCGGGAGCCGCAGGCCGGGGTGGAGCCCGAGGCTGGAGCCGAGGTGGAGCCGCTGCCCCTGCGCTGCCTGCGCGAGGCCTGCGCGCAGCTCCCCGGGCCGCGGCCACGGCCGCAGCTGCGCACCCTGCCCTTCGGGAAGCTGGCTCTGGGAGACACCGCGGCGCTCGATTCTTTCTATAACGCTGGTGAGCGCGCGCCCGGGGTGGGGTCAGGAGCGGGGCGGGACTTAGGGTCTTGGGAGGGGACTGGGGCGTGGCTCGGCGACCCCGGGGAGACCCCGAGATGTGTGCGGGGTCTGGGGAACAGCAGGTGAGCTGAAGCTCAGGAGTTCGAGGCGAGGTCGGATAAAAGTGGAATTTAGGGGATCTGGAGCGCGGCCGGGCTCGGGTTGGGACTCAGCGGATCCAGGCCCGCCTCCGGGTTTCACGTTGTAGCTTAAGCACTCTGGAGTCGGCTTCGTGCCTCCGGAGCGGGGCTGGCACTCGGACGAGGCTGCGAGCGGGGCAGAGTGTGGAATCCCAAGAGCGGGTTGGAGAGCTCAGCCTCAGGATGATCTCGCGCGGAGCTCAGGAGGGCTGATCCTGGGAGGCGGAACTTGGACTAGGGAAGGGAGCCATACTTGGAGGGCTGGAGTTCAGGGGCCCTAGCACACCACTTCGGAGGATCGGCCTACAGAGGCAGAGAAAGAAGCGAAGGAACTTTACAGCACCCATTCCGGGCGAGGGAGTTTGGGTTCTGCTGCCCCAGTAGCTGCGAAAGAGTGGGCGGGGCTAGAGGCGGGGCAGGGTCGTCCAGGGGCGCGTCTGGAAGGCGGCTATTTCAGTCGGGCCACCCCCTCCATCCCGACGCCCCGCCCCCAACACTTACTTGTTCTTCCCGAGAGTGCGGGACCAGTGCTTGTCGGATGACGGTAAAATCGCAGCCTAAAAATGAAGGCTGATTCGACCTCGAGGACATAAAGACATACGCACAGTCACAGGCTCACAAATCGCATGTATCTTGACTCACACAGGCTCTCGCAGACTCACCCAGAGATAGACGCAGACAGGCACAGACCTGTCTACACACACTGCTGGTGCTGGCCCCTTTCAAAGGACTGAGTTGAGAAAATCCAGGAACGGGGACTTCTGCGTGTGGACAACTCCTGCCTCTTAAGTAGTTCAGAATAAGCTCTAGGTGGGGAAGGCAGGATGCACAACTCCCCTTTCTCCATGCTCACAGGCTCTGAACAGGTGGATGAGAGTCCTAGGCCCTTGAGGTCAACTCTTCACTTGCACACCACAGATTATCAGTTCTGTGTAACGGCCAGAGGGACCCTAAAAGGGGGAAACTCGGGCCCAGAGCCAAATTGAAGCCTGCTGAATTCACATGGGAGGCAGGTCAGTCCAGGATGGGCCCCCAGGCTCCTTCCCTGCCGAGCTGGGCTTCATGAAGGGCTCAGGGCCTCCTCCTGTGTGCCTGCAGATGTGGTGGTGCTGGAGGTGAGCAGCTCCCTTGCACAGCCTTCCCTGTTCTACCACCTTGGTGTGCGTGAGAGCTTCAGCATGACCAACAACGTGCTGCTCTGCTCCCAGGCTGACCTCCCAGACCTGCAGGCCCTGCGGGTAAGTGACCAGGTGGCTGGTGGGGACAGGCACAGGGCTGGAATGGGGCCTACGCAGAACACCAGTATCTGACTGTCTGTCCCCTGCAGGAGGATGTTTTCCAGAAGAACTCCGTGAGCAGAATCCATTCCTCACTCCAATGTGTCTTTTGACCTCCGCTATGATCTCTGACCTCCACTACCTTTCCTGTGCTCTGCAGACCCTCTGGCCTCCTTAATGCCCCCTGACGTCTATGTGACCCTCTGTTCCTTATTACCTCCCTTCTGCAGTGGTCCCTTCCCAGCTATTCTAATCCCCACTGGTGCTGACCTCTGACCCCCTCACTGCCCCTCTCTAATCTGGTGCTGACCTCTGACCTCTACTGATTCCTGCCTCCTTCCCACCAGGATTGCGCTGGCAGCTACACATTGATCCCCTATGTGGTGACAGCCACTGGTCGGGTGCTTTGTGGTGACGCAGGCCTCCTGAAAGGCCTGGCTGATGGGCTAGTTCAGGCCAGGGCAGGCACAGAGGCTCTGCTCACACCCCTGGTGGGCCGGTTTGCCCGCCTGCTGGAGGCCACACCTACGGACTCTTGGTAATGGGGGCCAGCAGAGAGGGTGCACCAGGAGGAGGCTGGTGAGGGTACAGCTGGGGCTGAGGGACAGGCCCCACTATTCTTTCTCCCTCTCTCTCCTTCCACACAAATTAGTGGCTATTTTCGGGAGACCATTCGGCAGGACATCCGACAGGCACGGGAGAGGTTTAGTGGGCAGCAGCTGCGGGAGGAGCTGGCCCGCCTGCAGCGGAGACTGGACAGCATGGAGTTGCTGAGCTTGGATATCATCATGAACCTGCTGCTCTCCTATCGTGATGTGCAGGTGCGTGGTGCCCAGAGAGGCAGGCAGGCTGGCAATGGCATTCAGTGTTAGACAAACCTGAGTCCAGCTCCAGACTGTGCCACTCACTCCACTGGTGGCCTTGAGCAAATTATCTGATGTCTCTGAGCCTCAGTTTCCTTGTTTGTAATAGGGGATGATCATGTCACCATCTCTTGCGGCAGTTGGGGAGCTGGGGCACACATTGGGTTTTCCATGTAAGGTGTGATGTCTATACTACCTGCCAGGACTAAGGGAGGTGTGCAGAGGATGGTGGATGGGAAGATGGTGTGTCGGGGTGGGAGGGGACCCAAGCTCAAGATTTTCCTCAGGACCTGGGGGCTAATGGGACCCTCCAGACACCATGTACCAGTGCATGCTATTCCCTCATGCAGGACTACTCAGCCATCATTGAGCTGGTGGAGACACTGCAGGCCTTGCCCACCTGTGATGTGGCTGAGCAGCACAACGTCTGCTTCCACTACGCGTTTGCCCTCAACCGGTGTGTGGCAGAGCAAGGCTCAGGCCATAGCCACATGGGGACATGGGTCTCTGCTGTGTGAGGTCATTGCTGTCTGGGGTTTCTGCTGTCAGAGAATTTGCTGACCAGGGTCACACTGATGTCAAATGATCCCATTAGTTCTGTTACTGCTGCCCGGGTGGAGTGGGGTGGTGGTTCTGCCCTTAGAGTGGCCACAGCTGTCCCAGGTCACTGCTCCTCAGAGTCACTGCAGCTAGTAATCACCTCCATCTGGGATCACCACCTCAAGAAAGGTCAGTGCTGACCTGAGTCACCATTGCTTGTGGTGCATTACTGTCAGGCTCTTGGAAGGAGCTGTGCAGTTTAGGGTCTGGGGGTTCCAGGACAGAGTGAGGCAGGGCCACTGGGCAGGTCCCCAGCCTACATTCCTCTTCCTCTAGGAGGAACAGGAGGGGGGACCGGGAGAAGGCCCTGGCTGTGCTGCTGCCACTGGTACAGTTTGAGGGCTCAGTGGCACCTGACCTGTATTGCATGTGTGGCCGTGTCTACAAGGACATGTTCTTCAGCTCTGGCTTCCAGGATCCTGGGCACCGGGAGCAGGCCTATTACTGGTAAGGGGCACAGACAAGTGGACGTGGGCTGAGGGATGGGGCTGTGGGCATCAGTCCAGCCCTGCTTCTCCCCACCCCTGCCCCACCCCAGGTATCGCAAAGCTTTTGATACAGAGCCCAGCCTCCACTCGGGCATCAATGCAGCTGTGCTCCTCATTGCTGCTGGGCAGCGCTTTGAGGACTCCGAGGAGCTCCAGCTTATAGGTGAGCCCCATCCTGCACCTCTGTCCCCCCACCAACAGGGGATCATAGGGGTCTGGGAGAGAGGACACTGGGCTGGAGCTGGGACTGACCTCATCCCCTTTTGGACCTATTCTTCTTGAAGCCACGTGGGGGTCCTCATACCTGTCCTGGGCCCTCACTATCCTTTGGGTCCACAATTGCTTGTAAGCTCACACCTGTGTTCCTTACCCACTGAACTCCATATACACTTATTCCCAAACCCTCACCTGTGCCTGAGCACCTACATCCACCTGAGATCTTGCTTAAGTTTTCACCCATTTCTAGGTTCCTGCCCACGGGAATGTTGTAGCCCAAACTTACCACCACACTCACTTGGGCCCATGCTGCTCTCTCCCAGGCATGAAGCTGGGCTGCCTGCTGGCTCGAAAAGGCTGTTTGGAGAAGATGCAATATTACTGGGATGTAGGCTTCTACCTGGGAGCTCAGATCCTTGCCAATGACCTTGCCCAGGTGGCACTGGCTGCAGAGCAGCTGTACAAACTCAATGCCCCCATTTGGTAGGTGGCCCTTCTGCAGTCTTAGCCTGGCCTGGTCAGTCAGCTCCTGCCTGTGTGTTAGCTGGGGCCAGGGCTGGGTTGAGGACAAGGCTGTGCCTGCAGGTACCTGGTGTCTGTGATGGAAACCTTCCTGCTGTACCAGCACTTCAGACCCACACCAGAGACTCTTGGAGGCCCCCCACACCGTGCACACTTCTGGCTCCATTTCTTGCTACAGTCCTGCCAGCCACTCAAGACGGCCTGTCCCCAAGGGGACCAGTGCTTGGTGAGGCCTGTGCCTGTGTGGGACCTGGGAGGGGCCGGCCCCTTCTGACCCCTCTCCTCCCCCCACCGTCTGCAGGTGCTGGTGCTGGAGATGAACAAGGTGTTGCTGCCGGCAAAGCTCGAGTTTCAGGGTACAGACCCGATGAGCGCAGTGATCCTGAGTCTGCTGGAGCCCGAGACCCAGGTGAGGCCGCCACTGAGTCCCCCACTCACTGCCGTGCACCCCTTCCCTCCAGCCGCCCCTCATCCCCTCTCCCAGTCCCCAGCACCCACGTTAGGCTGCCTCTCTTCCCACAGGACATTCCCTCCAGTTGGACCTTCCCGGTCGCCTCCATCTGCGGCGTCAGGTGAGGGGCGAGCCCTGGCGTCGGCGCGGGCGGCCCTGTGGGCCGGCGGCGCTCAATGAGGCTCTTCATCCCTCCCCAGCGCCTCGAAGCGGGACGGGCGCTGCTGCTTCCTCTACGCGCTTCCCCCGGCTCAGGACGTCCAGCTGTACTTTCCCAGCGTAGGGCACTGCCAGTGGTGCGCGCAGCCTCTCGGGGTCGGGGCACTCAGGCCGGGATGCTCGGGGAGTGAGGGGAGGGGAGGGACATATGCCCTGGTGCTCTCGGTATAGGAGGGGACAGTTTCTGTCCCTCCGGTCGGTCTGACCGCTCCTGTCCTTAGGTTCTGCGGCTTGATCCAAGCCTTGGTGACGAATCCGGATTCCACGGCACCCGTGGAGGAGGCAGAGAGTGTAGGGGAGGTGCTGGAGGTAAGGAAGCGGGGCTTGGAGCTCGAGGAGGGGAAAGGTCTGAGGGCCCGTGAACCCCCATCTCACCCGTCCCCTGCAGTTTGATTACGAATACACCGAGATGGGCGAGCGGTTGGTGCTGGGCAAGGGCACGTACGGGGTGGTGTATGCGGGCCGCGACAGGCACACGCGGGTACGCATCGCCATTAAGGAGATCCCGGAGCGAGACAGCAGGTGAGCCCAACACGGCCGGCCGTGCGGGTGGCCCCCATCGCTAGGGCCCAGGTGTGAGGGTCAAGTGGTGGGAACCACGAGTTGAAGGGGTCCCATTTGCTGGGGAAGCACCGATGCGGGAGTGGTTTGGCTCATACATGCGAAAGTCCGAGCCGGTGGGTCCAGGTCTGCAGGCAAAACAGCAGGGAATAGGCGGGCGGTCTGCGGTCTGGAGGGGCCCCTGGGCTGGGTGATGAGGTAATGGTTGGAGTGGGGCTTGTGGGCGGGGCAGACCCTGGGGGCGTGGCTTGACTGGTGCTGGAGTTGGGTGAGCATCTCTGCCCGAAACTGGCCTCTTCGTTGCTGCTTACCTGCCCCAGGTTCTCTCAACCCCTCCATGAAGAGATTGCTCTGCACAAACGCCTGCGCCACAAGAACATCGTGCGCTACCTGGGCTCAGCCAGCCAGGGCGGCTACCTCAAGATCTTCATGGAGGAAGTGCCTGGAGGTACCTGCCCTCCTTGTGTGGGAATGGAATGGAGGTGTGGGGCATGGGGATGGTGCCAGGCATGGGTGGAGAACCCTCAGGGAAAATGAACCCTATAGTATGTGGGTGGTGTGGCCCAGAATTAGCTGATGCAGTGCAGTTGGGTTATGGAGTCTGGGCTATGGCATGGGTGTGCCAGGGCCTTCAGCAGAGAGCTGTGGGCTGGAGTAAGTGGGTGCCAATGAGGACCTTGAACTGCATTTGCCCAGGCAGCCTGTCCTCCTTGCTGCGGACAGTGTGGGGACCCTTGCAGGACAATGAGAGCACCATCAGTTTCTACACCCGCCAGATCCTGCAGGGACTCAGCTACCTGCATGACAACCACATTGTGCATCGAGACATCAAAGTAAGCCCTGTAGCTGGCCTACCCTAGCCTGCTGGGGGTGGGGTGGGTGTTAGATACCGCCTCAGATGGAGGCTGACAGTTTAGACTAAGTGGGCAGACCCTTTGCAAAGGGTGAGGAATTCATCAAGGAGGTTCCCTAGAGAAGGAGAGAAGTTGAGATCTGAAGTCAAATAGGTTCTAGTTCCCTGAGGGGCATAAGTGGAGTGGCAGGGTGAAGAGGTTAATATAAGAGGCAGGGTCAGGCTACGATTTCCAAGAGACAGGATCCTAGGAGAAGGTCCATTTGGGGGTCTCAGGAGTTAAGCCTGATGTCCACTGAGCACAATGTCCACTCTACTCAGGGGGACAATGTGCTGATCAACACCTTCAGCGGACTGCTAAAGATTTCTGACTTTGGCACCTCCAAGCGGCTGGCAGGCATCACACCCTGCACCGAGACCTTCACAGGTAACAGGGTGTGGGGTGGTGAGTGGGGAAGAACTCTTGGGGCCTTCCAGGGACTGTTGTCTCTTCTAGGAAAGGCACTAGAGAGTCCTAATGGGGGCTGGAGCCCAGGGCAGGTAGTTGAGCAGGGGTGAGGTGATGGAATCTAGAATTGGAGCTTAGATAGCTGTTGATATTGAGTTTAGTGCCTGAAATGGAGCCCAGAAGTGTTGATGCTGCCAGAGTGAGTGACAGAGTTCAGAGTGGAGGATGCCAGCCAGGATATATGATGGAACCTACTGTGGGTGATGGAGTCCACGAATGTGATGGAGCCTGGGATGGGTGAAGAAAGTCAGGATAGATGTTTGACAGCCAGGATAGGTGATGGGAACTGTTCTGGATAATAGAATTCAGGGTGGGTGCTGGTGGCCAGATGATGATCAAGCCCCCTGCTACCAAGCAGTAATAAAGCCTAGACAAACATTATTGCTACTGCTCCTATCCTAGGGACCCTACAGTATATGGCTCCAGAAATCATTGACCAGGGCCTACGAGGTTATGGGAAAGCAGCTGACATCTGGTCATTGGGCTGCACTGTCATTGAGATGGCCACAGGTCGCCCACCCTTCCATGAGCTAGGGAGCCCACAGGCTGCAATGTTTCAGGTAAGACCTCTCAGAGCCTGACTCATGATGTGAGGTGGGGACAGGTGGCCTTAAACACCTCTAAACTTGACCCTTGTTTACCTTCCCTGTCCACCTCCCAGGTGGGCATGTACAAGGTGCATCCGCCAATGCCCAATTCTCTGTCAGCAGAGGCCCAAGCCTTCCTCCTCCGAACTTTTGAGCCAAACCCCCGTGTCCGAGCCAGTGCTCAAGCACTGCTGGGAGACCCCTTCCTTCAGCCTGGGAAGAAGAGCCGCAGTCCTGGCTCCCCCCAACATGCCCTGCGGCCCTCAGGTACAGGCGGGTGGAGGGAGTGAGTCCCTTGAGGTGAGGACAGAGGAGCTGTTGGAGGTAAGAGGGCTGAGGGGGACCCAGGCTGACAGCCTCATTCCCCCCTCAGATGCCCCTTCAGCGAGCTCTACTCCTTCAGCTGACTCCACCACGCAGTCCCAGACATTCCCACGTCCTCAGGCAACCCCTCAGCACCCACCCAGTCCCCCAAAGCGCTGCCTCAGTTATGGGGACACCAGCCAACTCCGGTGAGAGCCCAGGGTCCTGGAGTGGGGTCACTTCATCTGTTTTACGCTTGTAGTTGCTCCATAAAAAGCCCTCCTAGGGCACATAGGCACCTCGACCACTTGCAAGGATAGCATTTGGTACCTACCTCCCAGATGCTCTTGTATTTATTGTGCCTCCTCAGTGCCAGGTTTATCAACTTTACCCCTGAGAGGTAAGCATAAAAGTAAAAGGCGCAGCCAGGATTCAAACCCTAGGACCGAGGTGGGTGGACGGTGTAGCTACCCACCCTCCATTTGCCCTTCGCTATCGCACCCAGGGTGCCTGAGGAGCCCGGGGCCGAGGACTCCGCGTCCCCCGAGGAGAGTTCGGGAATGAGCCTGATGCACCAAGAGAGCAAGCGCCGGGCCATGCTGGCGGCTGTACTGGAGCAGGAGCTGCCCACTCTGGCGGAGCAGCTGTGCCTGGAGCGGGACCAGGTGGGAGGCCCGCCCCAGCGCCCCCTGGTGGTCGCGTATGGACAGAAATCTTCCCGACGTCCTCCTTCCATCTCCCTCAGCCGCTGCCCCGCGTCTCTCTCGGCTCAGATGGGAATCATCCCTCTTTCTTTTCAGGATCCCCGTCTGGGCAGGAATCACGTGGAAGAGCTACTGCGCTGCCTTGGGGCGCATATCCACACACCCAACCGCCGGCAGCTGGCCCAGGAGCTGCAAGCGCTCCAAGGGCAGCTTCGGGCCCAGGGCATTGGGCCTGCGCTTCTGCATGCACCGCTCTTCGCCTTCCCAGAAGTGGTGAGGAGGGAGTGTTCTCGCAGTTAGGGCTGCCCACACAGGTAGCGAGCTCCCTGTGCCTGGGACTGTGCGAGGACTTGATGTTACAGGATTCTGTGTCTTCCCTGTGAAGATAAAGCCATTGGCAAGGGGACATCTGCCCAGTGCCAACTTCCCAGGCCCTCCCTTGACCCCAAGCCAGCCCACCCACTTGCCTCTGGCAGAAGACTCTCTAGGCCTTTCCAACTCAGGCACCACCTCTACTGATATTCAGCCGCGCCCTCCCTCCCTCTCCAGGTGAAACAGATCCTCCGCAGACGCCAGATCCGTCCACACTGGATGTTCGTGCTGGACTCGCTGCTCAGCCGCGCTGTACGGGCAGCCCTGGCGGTGCTGGGCCCAGGTAGGCGGCAGAGTGGAGCCGGCCTGCAGGCGAGGGTGGCACCCTTGGGCGCGTGAGGAACACGAAAGGACCCGGTAGGGGGCGTGGTCAGTAGGGGCCGGGCCCCACGGGTGGGCGGGGCAACGGACTCTCCCAGACTGGCACTGCATGGTCTGTGCCCAGAGCCCCGCGCCCTCTGCCAGTATCTGGGGGTCTCAGATGTGTGACTCACCCTACCTGAGCTTGCCCCACTCGTATTGGCAGAGGTGAAGGACGCAGTCCCACCGAAGTCAAAGGAGGCCAGTAAAGAAGAGGAGTCCCAGCTAAAGCAGCAGGAGACCTCAGTGCATCTGAGCCGGCTCCCTGGGGAACCAGAGCAGGAACCCACACCTCTGATAGTGCAGCTGGGCCTTTTGAGAGCAGAGACTGACAGGTAAAGCACCCGGGACTGGCCTTTGCTGGAGCTTCACCCCCACTGCACTCACAAGGCCACTCCATTCTACGACTCCGACAGGCTTCGAAGCGTCCTGGCTGAGAAGGAACGAGAGTGCCAGGCCCTGGTGCAACAAGCTCTACAGCGGGTGAATGGGGAAGCCAGAACCTGTGTCCTAGCCTCAGCACCCCCATGTGAGTAGACCTGGCTAGAGAGCACCAATGGCGGGTGTGCGGCAGCTTCTGGCAGGGCCCTCCCAGGGTTCACCAGCTGACTTCTTGACAGCTGCTCTCACAGTGGACCAGGGCCTGGTGCTGTGGCTACAGGAACTGAACGTGGATTCAGGCACCATCCAGACGGTGAGGGGAAGAGAACTTGACTCCCACCAACCAAAGACCCCTCCTCTGCCTATCTTTCAGCTCTTTTCACTTTCTCCTCTGATACAGAGAATTTCAGTACTGGAAGAGCACTTAGTATCCCCCGCCTATCACGCAGATGAGAAAACTAAGGCCCAGAAAAGGGTGCGATCTGCCCTAGCACGTTGGTAGTAGAACAGAGCTAGTATGTCTCTGGACACATCTTTCTCTTGAATTTTTTCTCTCACTGTTACTGCATATGGGTCTTTGTCCATAACCAGCTGCTGAATCACAGCTTCACCCTCTATGCACTGTTGACATGTGCCACTCGAGATGACCTCATCTACACCCAAATCAGGTATGTCCTGGGCCCTCCAGGGATGCCCCGTGAATGTGGCCTCATGCTGGCCAGATGCTGACACCCAGCTACAGGCCTGCCTTGGTTCCTCCCTGGAAACTACAGGGACATCAGGGTCCCCTGGGGACAGAGGGGGCATCAGGCAGATAGTGCCAGAGAGAGCCCAAGGCTGCCTTCTGGGCAAGCCACATTGAGCCTGCCACCCCCAGGGGAGGGATGGTATGCCGCATTTGGAGAGCCATCTTGACAGAGCGAGCAGGATCCACACCAGTCACTCCTGACCCTCAGAAGGCTGAATGAGGGCATCAGAAGGCCAGACCCAAGGATGGATGAATGGAGAAGACACAGAAGCTTCTGACACATCTGTCTCAGGACCCAGGGGCAGCAGCAGCAGGAGGCCAGAGAGTGGGAGGGGAGGCAGGGTAGGGCCCAGGCCTAGTCCCAGCAGGGGAATCAACCATAGAGATGCCCTAAGCACACCAAGTATCATCAGGCAAAGACTAATAAAACAGAACACTTTTGTACCTTTGTGCCTTGGCAACTTCTGAGGTAGGGGGATCCTGAGGCCAGCTCCCTAAGGTCTTTAGGACTGAGTCTAAAAATCCTTCCACCCTGCTCCCTTCACTCCTCCCACCCAATTCCAAGCAGACATCAGCCTCTTGTTGCCCTCAGAGTAGACTTTATTGACTTTAGCCAAGGGCAGGCCCTGAGATAGAGGTCCAGAGAGAGGGGCTTGGTAGGACTTGTAGGGATGCTATGTTCTGGGGGCCAGGTTGGTTCTGAGGGGCAGAAGGCCATCCACCCACTCACATGGCCGCTCCAGGAGTGTCTGCCACAGCTGCTTCTCCTCGGGTGTGGAATCCATCCAGGGCACCTGGAGCCCATAGCTGCTGCCTGGATATGGCAGGCAGGGGTGGAAGCCATGGTCACAGGACACCCCAGGTCCCAAGGAACCTGCTTGGTCCCAGGTTATGCGTGGCCACTCCCAGTTCTCAGGGAGTGAGACACCAAAGCTCAGGAGAGGGCAGAGAGGTGCCCAAAGCCACACACTGAGCCCCTCCCTCTCAGCATTGGGTCCCCATTTACCAGTGCCCAGGCTGAGGCGTGTGCCCCCCAACTGGCGGCTGGTCAGGGCTCCATGATCCCAGAGGGAGAGCTCGGCACAGGCCTGGCGCAGGTCAGCAGGCCCAAAGCCATCATAGACCATGGTATGGTTGAACATGGGGCTGAGACTGCGTCGCACTACCCTTGTCCGTTGGCGGCTTGCCCGACTGTCATCAGGCAGCACCGAGCTGTGGGGGGGATGGGCTGGTGTCAAGTAGCCACCCCCTCATCCTCCCCAGAACCAGCTGGTCACCAAGTGATTGGCCATTCTCCCTCAATGTTCATGTCATCTGGCTCCTGCCTGAGACCTGGCCTCAAACCCTTGCTACCCTGGGACCTTTGCACCAGCCTCTTCTCAGTTCTCCTGCCTTTAAAAGTTACAACTTCTATTCATAGGACCCTGAGTAATGTCTTTGAAATGCAGTTCTGTTACTCCCAGTTTAGTGACCTTCATAGGCTCCCTGTTGCTCCCCCTGACCCCCAAGTAGTTTCCAAAAGTTTTTAATGCCTTAGAACACTTTCTGCATGATAATATATGGCTCAGAAGTACAAAACCTAAATGAAAAAAATGTCTCTAGTGTTATCAGGGCTGGGAACTCAGAACCTGATAGACCTATCTCCATTACACACTCTGGCAGGGTAAGGGGGTGGACAGCATCTGGAGACAACCCCTAGAAGTCCCCGGATCTTATTTGGAAAACTACTGAACTATAAATTTGGGCCAAGCCCTACAGTCTGGACTTGGTCCTCCATAGAAGGGTCCCTCCCAGGTCTTAGCCTCAGCTCTCCAACAAGTCCTAAAGGCATCAGACACTGAAATGCAGTTCCTCATAGGTGTCCTTAACTTTCCTGACTCCAGGCCTTTACTCAAACCATCCCCCCTTGATGCCTGCTCAATGGTCAATGGTCAGACTGAGGGGATCAAAGGTGGTTGATAAGGAGTCTGTTAGAGGTGGGGGGCTCCATGCAAGGGAAGGAAGGGAAGTGGGGAGATCCTGATGCCCCTCACCATTGTATATAAGTGTCCAGGGATCCAGAGCGCAGCGGCACGAGGTTCTGAGCTTCCTTCACCCAAAAGTGCAGCTCCCCGCTCTGGGGCATTCCTGCACCTGCGGACAGGCTCGGCTTAGGGTCAGGCCTGGCTGCACGGACAATCTCCCACCCCACCCACTATGTCCCCTGTTTCCCAGAGCCCGGTCAGCTTGGCCCCTCACGGGGCTGTCACTCACCCTCTGAGCCTGCAGGGATGTACTTGAGTGACAAAGAGAGCAGCCCACGGCTGGGAAGGTCATCGGGAGAGGGGGGGACCTGCAAGGAGAGGTTAGTNCCTCTTCGTTGCTGCTTACCTGCCCCAGGTTCTCTCAACCCCTCCATGAAGAGATTGCTCTGCACAAACGCCTGCGCCACAAGAACATCGTGCGCTACCTGGGCTCAGCCAGCCAGGGCGGCTACCTCAAGATCTTCATGGAGGAAGTGCCTGGAGGTACCTGCCCTCCTTGTGTGGGAATGGAATGGAGGTGTGGGGCATGGGGATGGTGCCAGGCATGGGTGGAGAACCCTCAGGGAAAATGAACCCTATAGTATGTGGGTGGTGTGGCCCAGAATTAGCTGATGCAGTGCAGTTGGGTTATGGAGTCTGGGCTATGGCATGGGTGTGCCAGGGCCTTCAGCAGAGAGCTGTGGGCTGGAGTAAGTGGGTGCCAATGAGGACCTTGAACTGCATTTGCCCAGGCAGCCTGTCCTCCTTGCTGCGGACAGTGTGGGGACCCTTGCAGGACAACGAGAGCACCATCAGTTTCTACACCCGCCAGATCCTGCAGGGACTCAGCTACCTGCATGACAACCACATTGTGCATCGAGACATCAAAGTAAGCCCTGTAGCTGGCCTACCCTAGCCTGCTGGGGGTGGGGTGGGTGTTAGATACCGCCTCAGATGGAGGCTGACAGTTTAGACTAAGTGGGCAGACCCTTTGCAAAGGGTGAGGAATTCATCAAGGAGGTTCCCTAGAGAAGGAGAGAAGTTGAGATCTGAAGTCAAATAGGTTCTAGTTCCCTGAGGGGCATAAGTGGAGTGGCAGGGTGAAGAGGTTAATATAAGAGGCAGGGTCAGGCTACGATTTCCAAGAGACAGGATCCTAGGAGAAGGTCCATTTGGGGGTCTCAGGAGTTAAGCCTGATGTCCACTGAGCACAATGTCCACTCTACTCAGGGGGACAATGTGCTGATCAACACCTTCAGCGGACTGCTAAAGATTTCTGACTTTGGCACCTCCAAGCGGCTGGCAGGCATCACACCCTGCACCGAGACCTTCACAGGTAACAGGGTGTGGGGTGGTGAGTGGGGAAGAACTCTTGGGGCCTTCCAGGGACTGTTGTCTCTTCTAGGAAAGGCACTAGAGAGTCCTAATGGGGGCTGGAGCCCAGGGCAGGTAGTTGAGCAGGGGTGAGGTGATGGAATCTAGAATTGGAGCTTAGATAGCTGTTGATATTGAGTTTAGTGCCTGAAATGGAGCCCAGAAGTGTTGATGCTGCCAGAGTGAGTGACAGAGTTCAGAGTGGAGGATGCCAGCCAGGATATATGATGGAACCTACTGTGGGTGATGGAGTCCACGAATGTGATGGAGCCTGGGATGGGTGAAGAAAGTCAGGATAGATGTTTGACAGCCAGGATAGGTGATGGGAACTGTTCTGGATAATAGAATTCAGGGTGGGTGCTGGTGGCCAGATGATGATCAAGCCCCCTGCTACCAAGCAGTAATAAAGCCTAGACAAACATTATTGCTACTGCTCCTATCCTAGGGACCCTACAGTATATGGCTCCAGAAATCATTGACCAGGGCCAACGAGGTTATGGGAAAGCAGCTGACATCTGGTCATTGGGCTGCACTGTCATTGAGATGGCCACAGGTCGCCCACCCTTCCATGAGCTAGGGAGCCCACAGGCTGCAATGTTTCAGGTAAGACCTCTCAGAGCCTGACTCATGATGTGAGGTGGGGACAGGTGGCCTTAAACACCTCTAAACTTGACCCTTGTTTACCTTCCCTGTCCACCTCCCAGGTGGGCATGTACAAGGTGCATCCGCCAATGCCCAATTCTCTGTCAGCAGAGGCCCAAGCCTTCCTCCTCCGAACTTTTGAGCCAAACCCCCGTGTCCGAGCCAGTGCTCAAGCACTGCTGGGAGACCCCTTCCTTCAGCCTGGGAAGAAGAGCCGCAGTCCTGGCTCCCCCCAACATGCCCTGCGGCCCTCAGGTACAGGCGGGTGGAGGGAGTGAGTCCCTTGAGGTGAGGACAGAGGAGCTGTTGGAGGTAAGAGGGCTGAGGGGGACCCAGGCTGACAGCCTCATTCCCCCCTCAGATGCCCCTTCAGCGAGCTCTACTCCTTCAGCTGACTCCACCACGCAGTCCCAGACATTCCCACGTCCTCAGGCAACCCCTCAGCACCCACCCAGTCCCCCAAAGCGCTGCCTCAGTTATGGGGACACCAGCCAACTCCGGTGAGAGCCCAGGGTCCTGGAGTGGGGTCACTTCATCTGTTTTACGCTTGTAGTTGCTCCATAAAAAGCCCTCCTAGGGCACATAGGCACCTCGACCACTTGCAAGGATAGCATTTGGTACCTACCTCCCAGATGCTCTTGTATTTATTGTGCCTCCTCAGTGCCAGGTTTATCAACTTTACCCCTGAGAGGTAAGCATAAAAGTAAAAGGCGCAGCCAGGATTCAAACCCTAGGACCGAGGTGGGTGGACGGTGTAGCTACCCACCCTCCATTTGCCCTTCGCTATCGCACCCAGGGTGCCTGAGGAGCCCGGGGCCGAGGACTCCGCGTCCCCCGAGGAGAGTTCGGGAATGAGCCTGATGCACCAAGAGAGCAAGCGCCGGGCCATGCTGGCGGCTGTACTGGAGCAGGAGCTGCCCACTCTGGCGGAGCAGCTGTGCCTGGAGCGGGACCAGGTGGGAGGCCCGCCCCAGCGCCCCCTGGTGGTCGCGTACGGACAGAAATCTTCCCGACGTCCTCCTTCCATCTCCCTCAGCCGCTGCCCCGCGTCTCTCTCGGCTCAGATGGGAATCATCCCTCTTTCTTTTCAGGATCCCCGTCTGGGCAGGAATCACGTGGAAGAGCTACTGCGCTGCCTTGGGGCGCATATCCACACACCCAACCGCCGGCAGCTGGCCCAGGAGCTGCAAGCGCTCCAAGGGCAGCTTCGGGCCCAGGGCATTGGGCCTGCGCTTCTGCATGCACCGCTCTTCGCCTTCCCAGAAGTGGTGAGGAGGGAGTGTTCTCGCAGTTAGGGCTGCCCACACAGGTAGCGAGCTCCCTGTGCCTGGGACTGTGCGAGGACTTGATGTTACAGGATTCTGTGTCTTCCCTGTGAAGATAAAGCCATTGGCAAGGGGACATCTGCCCAGTGCCAACTTCCCAGGCCCTCCCTTGACCCCAAGCCAGCCCACCCACTTGCCTCTGGCAGAAGACTCTCTAGGCCTTTCCAACTCAGGCACCACCTCTACTGATATTCAGCCGCGCCCTCCCTCCCTCTCCAGGTGAAACAGATCCTCCGCAGACGCCAGATCCGTCCACACTGGATGTTCGTGCTGGACTCGCTGCTCAGCCGCGCTGTACGGGCAGCCCTGGCGGTGCTGGGCCCAGGTAGGCGGCAGAGTGGAGCCGGCCTGCAGGCGAGGGTGGCACCCTTGGGCGCGTGAGGAACACGAAAGGACCCGGTAGGGGGCGTGGTCAGTAGGGGCCGGGCCCCACGGGTGGGCGGGGCAACGGACTCTCCCAGACTGGCACTGCATGGTCTGTGCCCAGAGCCCCGCGCCCTCTGCCAGTATCTGGGGGTCTCAGATGTGTGACTCACCCTACCTGAGCTTGCCCCACTCGTATTGGCAGAGGTGAAGGACGCAGTCCCACCGAAGTCAAAGGAGGCCAGTAAAGAAGAGGAGTCCCAGCTAAAGCAGCAGGAGACCTCAGTGCATCTGAGCCGGCTCCCTGGGGAACCAGAGCAGGAACCCACACCTCTGATAGTGCAGCTGGGCCTTTTGAGAGCAGAGACTGACAGGTAAAGCACCCGGGACTGGCCTTTGCTGGAGCTTCACCCCCACTGCACTCACAAGGCCACTCCATTCTACGACTCCGACAGGCTTCGAAGCGTCCTGGCTGAGAAGGAACGAGAGTGCCAGGCCCTGGTGCAACAAGCTCTACAGCGGGTGAATGGGGAAGCCAGAACCTGTGTCCTAGCCTCAGCACCCCCATGTGAGTAGACCTGGCTAGAGAGCACCAATGGCGGGTGTGCGGCAGCTTCTGGCAGGGCCCTCCCAGGGTTCACCAGCTGACTTCTTGACAGCTGCTCTCACAGTGGACCAGGGCCTGGTGCTGTGGCTACAGGAACTGAACGTGGATTCAGGCACCATCCAGACGGTGAGGGGAAGAGAACTTGACTCCCACCAACCAAAGACCCCTCCTCTGCCTATCTTTCAGCTCTTTTCACTTTCTCCTCTGATACAGAGAATTTCAGTACTGGAAGAGCACTTAGTATCCCCCGCCTATCACGCAGATGAGAAAACTAAGGCCCAGAAAAGGGTGCGATCTGCCCTAGCACGTTGGTAGTAGAACAGAGCTAGTATGTCTCTGGACACATCTTTCTCTTGAATTTTTTCTCTCACTGTTACTGCATATGGGTCTTTGTCCATAACCAGCTGCTGAATCACAGCTTCACCCTCTATGCACTGTTGACATGTGCCACTCGAGATGACCTCATCTACACCCAAATCAGGTATGTCCTGGGCCCTCCAGGGATGCCCCGTGAATGTGGCCTCATGCTGGCCAGATGCTGACACCCAGCTACAGGCCTGCCTTGGTTCCTCCCTGGAAACTACAGGGACATCAGGGTCCCCTGGGGACAGAGGGGGCATCAGGCAGATAGTGCCAGAGAGAGCCCAAGGCTGCCTTCTGGGCAAGCCACATTGAGCCTGCCACCCCCAGGGGAGGGATGGTATGCCGCATTTGGAGAGCCATCTTGACAGAGCGAGCAGGATCCACACCAGTCACTCCTGACCCTCAGAAGGCTGAATGAGGGCATCAGAAGGCCAGACCCAAGGATGGATGAATGGAGAAGACACAGAAGCTTCTGACACATCTGTCTCAGGACCCAGGGGCAGCAGCAGCAGGAGGCCAGAGAGTGGGAGGGGAGGCAGGGTAGGGCCCAGGCCTAGTCCCAGCAGGGGAATCAACCATAGAGATGCCCTAAGCACACCAAGTATCATCAGGCAAAGACTAATAAAACAGAACACTTTTGTACCTTTGTGCCTTGGCAACTTCTGAGGTAGGGGGATCCTGAGGCCAGCTCCCTAAGGTCTTTAGGACTGAGTCTAAAAATCCTTCCACCCTGCTCCCTTCACTCCTCCCACCCAATTCCAAGCAGACATCAGCCTCTTGTTGCCCTCAGAGTAGACTTTATTGACTTTAGCCAAGGGCAGGCCCTGAGATAGAGGTCCAGAGAGAGGGGCTTGGTAGGACTTGTAGGGATGCTATGTTCTGGGGGCCAGGTTGGTTCTGAGGGGCAGAAGGCCATCCACCCACTCACATGGCCGCTCCAGGAGTGTCTGCCACAGCTGCTTCTCCTCGGGTGTGGAATCCATCCAGGGCACCTGGAGCCCATAGCTGCTGCCTGGATATGGCAGGCAGGGGTGGAAGCCATGGTCACAGGACACCCCAGGTCCCAAGGAACCTGCTTGGTCCCAGGTTATGCGTGGCCACTCCCAGTTCTCAGGGAGTGAGACACCAAAGCTCAGGAGAGGGCAGAGAGGTGCCCAAAGCCACACACTGAGCCCCTCCCTCTCAGCATTGGGTCCCCATTTACCAGTGCCCAGGCTGAGGCGTGTGCCCCCCAACTGGCGGCTGGTCAGGGCTCCATGATCCCAGAGGGAGAGCTCGGCACAGGCCTGGCGCAGGTCAGCAGGCCCAAAGCCATCATAGACCATGGTATGGTTGAACATGGGGCTGAGACTGCGTCGCACTACCCTTGTCCGTTGGCGGCTTGCCCGACTGTCATCAGGCAGCACCGAGCTGTGGGGGGGATGGGCTGGTGTCAAGTAGCCACCCCCTCATCCTCCCCAGAACCAGCTGGTCACCAAGTGATTGGCCATTCTCCCTCAATGTTCATGTCATCTGGCTCCTGCCTGAGACCTGGCCTCAAACCCTTGCTACCCTGGGACCTTTGCACCAGCCTCTTCTCAGTTCTCCTGCCTTTAAAAGTTACAACTTCTATTCATAGGACCCTGAGTAATGTCTTTGAAATGCAGTTCTGTTACTCCCAGTTTAGTGACCTTCATAGGCTCCCTGTTGCTCCCCCTGACCCCCAAGTAGTTTCCAAAAGTTTTTAATGCCTTAGAACACTTTCTGCATGATAATATATGGCTCAGAAGTACAAAACCTAAATGAAAAAAATGTCTCTAGTGTTATCAGGGCTGGGAACTCAGAACCTGATAGACCTATCTCCATTACACACTCTGGCAGGGTAAGGGGGTGGACAGCATCTGGAGACAACCCCTAGAAGTCCCCGGATCTTATTTGGAAAACTACTGAACTATAAATTTGGGCCAAGCCCTACAGTCTGGACTTGGTCCTCCATAGAAGGGTCCCTCCCAGGTCTTAGCCTCAGCTCTCCAACAAGTCCTAAAGGCATCAGACACTGAAATGCAGTTCCTCATAGGTGTCCTTAACTTTCCTGACTCCAGGCCTTTACTCAAACCATCCCCCCTTGATGCCTGCTCAATGGTCAATGGTCAGACTGAGGGGATCAAAGGTGGTTGATAAGGAGTCTGTTAGAGGTGGGGGGCTCCATGCAAGGGAAGGAAGGGAAGTGGGGAGATCCTGATGCCCCTCACCATTGTATATAAGTGTCCAGGGATCCAGAGCGCAGCGGCACGAGGTTCTGAGCTTCCTTCACCCAAAAGTGCAGCTCCCCGCTCTGGGGCATTCCTGCACCTGCGGACAGGCTCGGCTTAGGGTCAGGCCTGGCTGCACGGACAATCTCCCACCCCACCCACTATGTCCCCTGTTTCCCAGAGCCCGGTCAGCTTGGCCCCTCACGGGGCTGTCACTCACCCTCTGAGCCTGCAGGGATGTACTTGAGTGACAAAGAGAGCAGCCCACGGCTGGGAAGGTCATCGGGAGAGGGGGGGACCTGCAAGGAGAGGTTAGTCAGGGGGCCTAGGCAGGGTCCAAAGAAAACTGGCGTTAGCGGGTGGAGTCACCAGACCCAGGTGGGTCTTGGTTAGTGGGAGGGAGAAGGACCAAGTCCGTGGTGGCACCGGAGGCCATCGCGGGGTGGTGGTGGTGGTGGGGAGATAAGGTTGTGAGGCCGAGTGGAAGCTCCGCCCGAGGCAGAGTCCGAGACAAGCTGGAGGAAAGCCCGGTGGGGTAAGGGAGGGAAATCTGCTGCAGGTCTTTCCCAGCCGGCCAAGCTGCCTCACCCGGGGCTGCAGGGGGAGCCAGATGGGCTCAGAGTCCCAGTCCCACGTGTCCAGGGGCACTTCGACTTCGCCCATAAAGATGTTGCGACCCAGGCTTTCGCGGTGCCACACGGACAGGCTCAGCACGCGGTCCCGGAGCTCAGCCTGAGGGACGGAGTACTGGGGACAGGAGGTGCGCTTTAATGGAGCACCGCTGATGGCCCCGGCTTCAGCGCTGCAGGAGTGTTGGCTGGGGCTTGAACTACTATGTTCTGTGCAGGACGGACTCCTGGGGAACCCCGAAGGGTATTAATGGGGGTCTGGACTAGGGCCATGCCCACCACTAGTCTGATCTACTGGAGAATGCTTTAATGGGAGGGGCTTCCTGCCGTTCCTCCTGCAGAATGGAGGATTGGCGCGACGGGCAAAGACGATGGATCCTACGGCTGCCCTGCCGCCCGGTCCCCGCAGGGAGGGGCGTCACATTCATTAATGGGGGCAGCCGCGTCGTCGCAGCCTCACCCGGAGAGTCTCGTTGAAGACCGGATTCAGATTTCGTTTCTTCACGGCCGTCTTGCGCTTGCTTTGCTTATCAGGGAGGAGGTAGCCTTTGACGTAGCTGGGGCGGGGGAGGCGAGGACGAGGGTAAAGGGTCGCCTTCCAGCCGCTACTCCCCTGCCCGGGGGGCTTCCCCAGCCACAGCCTGGAAAGCAGCTTCCCGTGCCAGGCTTCATGCAGTGTTTTCAGGGGATTATCTCACCCAACCCCCACGCCTCCCAAGAATGCTGTTATTCCCATTTTGAAGATGAGGAAACTGAGGCCTCAAGCAAAGCGGTGGGGCCGGACTGTGAAGGCGGCTCCCTTGCGCCTCAGACTCTGCCGGGTCGGGCACTCACGGGTCGGAGCGGCTGCGCCGGGCGGCAGCAAGGCCGTGGCACTGGATCACGTGCACGCGCAGCTCGGCGGCGCCCGGCTCGTAGCGCAGGCCGAAGTGCAGAGAGCCATGCACCTGCACCGCGGCCGCCTCCGCCTCCCCGGACAGGCTCATCTGGCTGCCGCTCAGCTGCGGGCAGAGGGGTGGAGAGGTCAGGGCCGGGGAGCGGGGTTCACGTCCGGGGTCGAGGGAGCGGGAAGCGTGGGGAGGCGAGGGGAGGGGTCCAGCAGGGGTTCCGTGTCGGCATGAGGAGGGGAAGCACCACCTTTCTCCTACTCCCCAGGCCCTCTCCCTCACCCCTCACCGTGGAGGAGTTGAGACTGGACACGGAGGAGCTGCTGCTGAGCATGCGGTCGAGGGAGGGGCCGGGTCCTGGGGATTCCTCCCCGTTCTCCAGGATCTCGGGCGCCGCCTGGGTCTGGGGAGCAGGGAAATGACGGGGGCGCCCCTCGCTCCCAGCCCCTCCCCCGACAGCTTTCGGTCCCGGGCGGCTCACAAACTTGGGCGGGAGCACTCCCCTCCGGGAATCCGCTCCGGGTCTTGAGAGCAGCCGCGGGCCGCTCCCGCCTACCTGGGCTGGGCGGGGCCGCGGCTCCTGCGCGTCTGGCGCCCGCGGCTCCGGCTCCGGGTCCGCCTCCTCCGAGCAGACCTGCGCGCCCCCTAAGCCAGGGGCTGGGGTGGGGCACAAGCTGCTAAGCGAGCCCCTCTCCTGCTAGCCACTGGGCAGAAGTGGAGGGACTGGTTTACAACCCCCTTGACCTGCAGATTCAGGCCCCCGTGCTGCGGTGTACCCGTGGGGACCACACACACACACACCTCCCCACCGTTAGAGGAGGAGGGTGCACACCGGCGCTGGGGGGTCTTAGAGGGGCCCCTGATCCTCGTAGCCTCTCTGTGCTCCACAGACACACCTTCCCACTAACCTTCCTGGGCCTCAGTTTCCTCCTCATGATCTGAAGACTTTGGGGGGGCATCAGGTGTCTGAAAGCAAAAAGAGTAAAGGTCACAGTGGAGGCTAATGATGGGGTCAAAGGTCATAATGGGGTTAGAGACCAGAGGCTCCAGGGGGCCATTCCAGCTTCGGGTTTAGCACAGCCCTCAGGGCAGGGCAGGCAACCAGCTGCAGGACCTGTTGGGCCTGTAGTTCACACCCCCTTCACACTTCAGAGCCTGGGTCCCATTGATGGGGGTGGGGGGTGGGGGCAGTAGTATCTGAGTCCTGGACCTTGCCAGCTTCATCCCCACTCCAAATCTAATAGCTGGATTCAGAGATTAACCTTAGAGGTGGGGTCCATATCCCCATTTGATAGAGGAGGATGACAGAAGCCAAGCCAGGGTCTCTACCTCACATATCCCACCTCCACTCCAGGGTCATTGTATGTTCATTAGCTTGTTCAGTCACTCATTACTCACCTCAGCCTCACTGAGACTCTCTTGGGAGGCCCTGTCCATGGGGCACCTAGGAAGAGGGAGAGGTGGTTGTCAGGGGATGGGCCCCAGGTGACTGCTGGGCACCCTCCCCTCCCTGCCACACCTTCTCACCTGGGTTCCAGCTCCTCTTTGGTCTCTTTCCCAGCAGCCTCAACTTCCCTTTCGCTGCCCGCAGCCTGGGCTCCTGCACGGTGGTGAGAAGTTCTGTGAATCTTGTTGCCCTTGGAGATTCCCACCCACCTCCTGGAAGCTCATGGAGGGGTGGTGACCACCCAAAGATGGTGACCACCCAAAGATACACAGTACCGGGGCAGCCAGGACTGGAACCCAGGGGCCTTCTCTCCCTGTCCACACACACCAGGTGCCCTGAGCTGCAGAAGGCCTGCCCTGCTCTGGGCATCTCCTCTCACCCCTGGAGCTCTTCTTCCTGCGGATAGAGGCTCGGACAAGGTCAGAGCCAAGGTGGGCATGGTGATGCC